ATAATCAAAAGGACTCATACCTATTAGCCATTATAGAGGTTAAAACTGTGAAGTGACCTGTGAATACTGCCACTTGCTCTTCCTCCTGAGAGTCCCTGCCTGTTATTTTGGTTGTCTATGTTGCTCAAAACTCTCCAGTAACTCTTTAGAATCAGTACTCTTTCTAGCAGAGCAAACACTGAAGGAGTTGTGAGAAGACGAATCCTATCAGGAAGTGATGAGCTATTTAAGTGTGATTGTCAACTTTGTACTCAGCAACATGGGACTATGAGCAAAAACTAGGATGCAGAAAGTTGAAGACAAACATACAGAAGTGTACAAGCTCATGTCCTGTCCAGAAGAAACTTGCTTCTCTGAAAAGGAAATAGAAGAAACTATGTTTTGAAACAGTATAGTGGGTAAGACTAGGTACTAGAATAAGACTGCCCATATTCAAAACCTGGCTCTCCTGCTCACTAATAACATAACCTTAGATAATTTCTGTAAACCTTGGCATTTTGCCCACAGACCAGGGAGGAAGATAGCATCAAAGTCATTAATATATCAAGTTAAACATTTGCTTTTGAAGGCATTTTGATCAAGTCAGAAAAAGTTCAGTGAAGCAAGTTGTGTAAACACTGATGTGTGCAGCAGGACTAGTAAGAACCCAGAGACAAATATTGGGGTTCAAGCCGAAGATCAGAAAAGCAAAGCAGCCAGCCACTAACTCTTAGCTCTACCATGGCTGGGGTGATCCTGTCCTCAGTGTGGCTGGAGACTGAATGCTGAATGAGACCCTGAGCTTCTGTCTTATATACCTCTCTAGTGCTTCGATTAAAGGCATGTACCACTGCAACCCAGCCTCTATGGCTAACTAGTGTGGCTGCTGGGATTAAAGTTGTGTACTACCACTGCCTGGCCTCTATGACTGTGGCTAGATTTGCATTCTGATCTTCAGGCAAGCTTTATTATATCATAAACAATATATCATCACAGATGTCTTTATGTTTACAAATAAAGAGATGGGCCAGGTGGTGGTGGCACATGCCTTTAATTCCAGCATTTGAGAGGCAAAGGCAGTTGGAACTCTGAGTTTGAGGCCAGCCTGGTCTACAGAACTGGTTCCAGGACAGCTAGGGCTTTTTGTTACACAGAGAAACCCTGTCTCAAAAAACCAGAGAGAGAGAGAGAGAAGAGAGAGAGAGAGAGAGAGAGAGAGAGAGAGGTGGTTTTATAATGTATTCAGTTAGTCATTGAATTTCTTTTTCAGATAGTATTTTTCTTATGTTTAATTTATTCAGTTAGTCATTGAATTTCTTTTTCAGATAGTATTTTTCTTATGTTTAAAAACTATTTGTATGCATATATGTTTATGCAACACCTACAAGCCTAGGTTCCAGGAGGCCAGAATAAGGGTATCAGATTACCTGGAGCTGAGGTGTAGATGACTGTGAGCCATCTTATGAATACTAGGACTCAAACCCAGGTCCTCTGAAAAAACAGCAAGTGCTTTTAACTGCTAAGCCATCTCACCAGACCTCTTTTTTTTTTTCTTTTATTTTTCTGTTGTTTGTTTTTCCATAGAGTATAATGGAGGATGACCTTGAATTTAGGAGTCTCCTTCCTCTACCTCCTGAGGGCTGAGATGACCGGTGTGGGCCACCCACTCTTCTGGTTTACTCAAATGGTGTTTTTATCATCAGGTTTTGATTGAAGTAAGGAAATAGTTATTTAAAGGACTTATTGCTTTATATCTGCACTCATTCAGATGTGTCACTTCTATAGACAATGGATTATTAATGTCTACCTGTCAGAAAAAAAAAAAACAGGAAATGGAGAATGTGGTGACATTTTATGATCTAACAAATAAAGCTTGCCTGAAGAAGAGAGTGCAAAGCTAGTCAGACAGTGGTGGCACACACCTTTAATCCCAGCAGAGGCAGATGGATCTCTGTGAGTTCAAGGCCACACTGAGCTACACAAAATTGATCCAGTCTAAAAGAGATATAGGGTTTGCACAAGGTGATCCCAACACTTGGGATCCCACACCTTTAATCCCAGCATGTGGGAGGTGGAGATACAGTGATATGGACATCGAGAATTTAAGGTAGGAGGAGACAAGAGCTCACTGCAGTCTGAAGAACAGTACAACCTAAGCAGTCTAGGCAGAAGGCAGTCTGAGGAACAGTGCAGCTGAGGAGCAGTACAGTCTAAGGATGCAATCTGAGGATAGGCTTGCCCCTTCGGTCTGAGCATTGGTAGAGGTGAGAGCTCTCTAGTGGCTGCCCACTTTGCTTCTCTGATCTTCAGCATTAACGCCAATATCTGACCTTAGGTTTTTATTATTAAGAACAATTAGAATTCATGTTATAGAAACAATTACTGATGATTTTCCTTATTTAGCTCTCTGATGTACTGATCCAGAAAGTAGATAAGTCTTCCCGTGCTGAGTCTGGTTTTATTGCCAGTCCATTCAGTGAAGAAAGGCCCATTAAGTCACATGCTGTTTAGATAACTGATTTACTTTTTTTTTAACAATTGAATTTCATTGTGCATTTTAATGATGTCATGATATTTACAAACATGTTCTGACAGTTATATGTAAAGACTCTTTAAGAGGAACAGAACTGAGATTACCCCAAAATTGATTGACTCAATCTAGTAACACTAGTGTTGAATAAGATGCCAGTTACTATTCTGGATGGGTCTTCAGAAACAGGACCTTCAGGGTTGTAGTCAATGAACAGTGTACTGTTTTGTCACAAGATGGTATCTGCTAAGCTGCCTTCAAGATATGCTGTGTCTCATATTTTCCCCAGCAGTCCTTTGACAGTACCCTGTTTCCCTATAGCCGGCTTAATTTTTATGAATAACCTTTTCAAGATGACAGCTTTGTTAGAACATATGTTCAGAGAAGATGTGTCTATCTTATTCATTACTAATAGCCCAGGAATCCTAATAATGGCTAGCACCTAGCCAGCATGTAGTATGTTTTTATATAATGGAAGTTTCTGAAATTAACTGTTTTGGTTACTATGAGTCAACACTTACATTTTAAAATATAAGGCTAAAACCCAAAGTTGTCTCCTCACAATCAGAAAATGTCTTTTTTTCTTTTTCTTTTAAGTAAGGTCTCATGTAGTCCAGGCTGGACTCAAACTTACTACACAGCTGAGAATGTCCTTAATCTTGTAATCCTTCTACCTCCCCCTTCCCAGTGCTGGGACTGAAGGCATGTGCCACCATATCCTGCTGGGGGACGTCCTTCTGTGTATATGTTTGTCTTATTGGTTGATAAATAAAGCACTGTTGGCCAATAGGAAAGTAAGATAGGCGGGACTAGGAGAGAAGGAGGATTCTGGGAAATGTAGGAAAGAGTCAGAGTTGCCATGTGAGCCCGGGAAGACAGGACACTTGCCGCTGGCGTCCTCAATAAGATGTTTATAAAATATATAGTTTAATAGTTATAGTTGATAATTAAGACTGAGCTAGCAGATAAGAAATCCTAGTCATTGGCCAGCAGCATTGTACCTAATATAAGTCTCTGTGTATTATTTGGGGGGCCTAACGTGGCAGGCAGAACTCGGGTGGCTGGTGTAAAGACTTATCGTTACAATATTGTGCTGTGGAATATTAATTTAAGATGTGTTACATTTGTTTATACAGTGGTATATTTGTTTAATGATTCAAAGACATGTTACATTTGATTAAACAAAATTAACCTGAGGTCAGGAGTCAACAACTAGCTGGCAAGCAGTGGTAAGGAGGAACCACGTATTCATAAGTTGGGACTGAGCAGGGGACGTCCCCCTCCCCCCCCAGAGCCTGAGCTAGGAGAAAAGGTTAGCTACTTGCTATTCAGCCTCTTTGAATGAGCAGAATTTCACCTCAACCTCTGAATCCTGAGTTCTATAGAGGGATAGAGATCTAGATAGAGTTCCTTTAGCTGGTGCCTGAGGGAAGAGAATTCCAGCCTGGCTGCAGCCAGTGTGACAGCATAGCTACTAGTAGCTGTGGAGATGCAACTGCCGATTAGGACAGTGGTTGCTTAAGGGGCAGCCCTTGAATTTAATGAAAAACAACAGTATCCAGTTTATGTAGAACTGGGGCTGGAACCCAGGCCTCTGCATGCTGTCAGGTGTCTATCAACCGAGTCACATGCCGGATCTCTCTGTGTCTTTTAAAGTGAACTTTTTCATTCTAAAAAAAAAAAAAAAAAAAAAAATACTTAAGGAAATATACCATGGTCTTAATGATAGAACTGTGTGTTTGAATGGTGTTCAAATTCTGCTTTGGCTTGTTGTATATCTTGAACTTGAGTTAGAAAAATGGAGCTAACATTACTTTTAAGGTTTTTTTTTTTTTTTTTTTTTTTTTTTTTTTTTTTTAAACAGCAAAATTAAAATATACTTAAGGATGGGTTCTCCTTTTCCTTTTTTTTTTTTTGTGGTAAGAGACTTTTTTCCCTTTTCCTTTTTAATGCAAAATGTGTAGCTTCCCTTCCAATAAGCTCATTTTGTTATCTGGTTCTCTCTATGAATCAGGATTGTGGCTATCTGTGCATTAGGGGACAGAACTCTTACTGAATATAGTGAACCTTCCTAAATAAAAGTCCTGTAGCCAAACATTTTGTTTTGTTTTGTTTTGTTTTTGTTTTTTGAGACAGGGTTTCTCTGTGTAGCTTTGGAGCCTATCCTGGCACTCGCTCTGGAGACCAGGCTGGTCTCGAACTTACAGAGATCCGCCTGCCTCTGTCTCCTGAGTGCTGGGATTAACATTTTAAGCAGCAATAACAACATCCACAGAGACAAGCTGAGCGGAAATAACTTTTATTGCTTGTTAGCCAGGTTTACTCGGGCACCTGAGACTTTGTACAACCTGTGCTTTTGTACACTGGATGGAAATAGTAACTGTAACGATAGGGTTGCAGTTGGTGGGAAGTGGAAATCGTAACTGTAACTAATGGATGCAGTTGTTGGGAACTGGGGACCACCGGAGTTCTCCGGAATGCATGCCGATCCTCAGTGACTGTTGCAGGGGATCACAAAGGAGATCTTTGGTCCAAAGAAGACATCTCTGAAAGAAAGAACACAGTTAACACAGCTGAAAACTAAGGCAGACTTTAGTCTTTTCTGGGTTGAAAATGTAAGGTGTTTTCCAGAGTTTCAGGCAGGCAAATCAGATACAAAAAGATGTGTAGAAGGACTTTCCTCAGGAGTCACAAAGACCAAAAGGTAACTGTTTTCTCTCACCCACTCACCATTGATGTTATATTATTATTTGTCTATAAATAAAAGGAAAGCATAGATCATTTCAAAACCTTATACAAGAGTTCACTTTGATGTGATGGGTTATGCAGTTTAAATTTGGGGTAAGAGACAGGTCAGTAGATATTTCTTAAAAAACATTAAAGTTTAAAATACTTATATTTATTTAAAACATTCAATTTTATTAAATTCATATATATATGTTATTTTTATTATATTTAATCTAAATATCTCAGCTTCCTAGGTTTTGTGCATATAAAAGTGTTCTAAAAGCTATTCTTATTGTTTTGGGTAGAAAAGCTGGTATAAGGGACTATGAAAAAAGTGCATGGAATAGTATTAAATTATATGTACAGAGTGGTATGATTCTGACTTAATAGACATACACTTTGCAAAGTGATTCTGTTGCTACTGGAAAAAAAGCTCAAAGTTGAGGAGAAATGGTTTCAGTATATTTACACTTCTGTTTCAATGTGTTAATAGTCTTAATCACAAAGTTATATCAGAAAACAAATATACGCTCACCGCAGTAAATTGGCTTAATAATCCAATAATAAAAAATTAATATTAATTGGCATTTAATTTCTACAGTTTAGAAATGTGTTTCATGGGGTTAATTAACACACATTCAATTTTTTAAAAGATTTATTTATGTGTTATATATACAGTGTTCTGCCTGCATTTCTGAAGAGGGCACCAGATCTCATTATAGATGGTTATGAGCCACCATGTGGGTGTTGGGATTTGAACTCAGGACTGGAAGAGCAGCCAGTGCTCTTAACCTCAAAGCCATCTCTCCAGCCCCCAACACATATTCTTGCATCATGTAATACTGTGCTTCTGGAATGTCATTGTGCTTGAGAACTACCTGAGGGCTTGATGAACTCTGCTGGCAGCCCCTGCACAGCTGATTCAGCTGGTCCCCACTGGGGTCCCAGGGCAGGCAGGCACTGAACAGGCACTGCTTTGGAGACCTCACTTTGGAGACCAACTGGGTCTGTACCAGGTTTTTGTCTCCACAGTGACGTTAGCTACTTATGTGAGGTATCGCCCATCATCTGCCTTCCCTTAGGAAGAGATTTATATTTGCCTCTTCTACCTTATAGTTTGCTTAGAAGGATGAAAATATGATGTCAGATGTTGAAAGCAATTTGAAACAGTATTAAATGTCCAAGAACATAGTATTTGAAATAATCCTTATTCAGAGGAAAATATCTTAAAATCTAAAGAGCTAAAGTTTCATTTAGTCTCCCATTGTTTTTTTTTAACTTAACAAACACAATTTTCCAAAATGTAAATTGTTTTAAACGTATTTAATTTCCAATTAACTTATATATGGAGCTGGAAGATTCTCCCATGGCCCCTAACAACATTTCCTGTTCTAGCTACTTACTTGATGCTGTTCATTAACTCGTTTAATCTAAGAAATATTTATCAGTTTTCAAATTAGTTACAATGTCAACTCAGAGGTTCATTTATATTACCAACAGATGTTTGTTGTTGTTGTAAGAATTGAACTTAGAATTTATCAGGTTAAGGTATTATTTTTCACATTTTTATTTAGGCTTTGTTTTGTGACAGTCTCCCTGCATAGCCCAGGCTAGTCTCCAACTCCGACCTTCTTGCCTGTGCAACTCTACCAAAGTTATTCAACAAGAACACCACACACTTGGATGGTTCTGAAAACAGCTGGGATTTGAGTTTACTTCAGAGAGTAGTGAATCCCAGCAAACCCACCTGAAGCTGCTCTAAGCCAGGTCTGGTGCCTCATGCTGTGAAGCCAGCAGTTAGGAGGCAGAGGGAGGAGGATTGCAATAAGTGTTCAATCAAAGTCTCAAGGTCAGCCTGGTCTATATAACAAGTTCCAGCCAGCTTGGGCTATAGTTGAGATCTTGCCTAAACAAACAAACAGACAACAACAACACAAAAGAAGAGGAAGATGGTAACTGAACCATGAGTCTATTGAGTGGATGAAATGTATTTATTAATACCTATGGAGGATTTATAATACCGCCATTGGCATATAATAAACCTTCATGGAATGTTACATTTCTACAACATTCAAAAACTGAAATAATGTGTTTCCGGGTTGTTGTTATAATCAGGATAAAACAAAACAATTGAAACAACCCTATAAATAAATATGAATAACACTAAATATATTAAAGTTGGCCATACTGTGTTATATACATTTGTGTAGATTTCCAAAGTCCTTGTTTTAAAGATATGTGTAGAGAAATCACTGGGCAACTTATTTTCATACCAGTGCTGCAAGGTGGAGATACCTATTTATAAATTAAATCATTTGGAAACAAATAACACAATAAAAGGTGATCTTTTAAGAGGCTTTTTCTACAAAAATAGCAATACACTTTGAAATGTCATGTCCTTACTTTGGGCAACAGAGCAATTCGCTGAAATTGCAGTAACAGATCATCTCACATCCTTTCCCATCCCAGAAATGATGCTGGATGTTTGTGTCAATCGGTGTCAGGTCTGCTCTGCCTTCTGGAAGGTTGTGACAGTTACGATCTTTTAGCATCTTTCTGTAGCAAGAAAGGCGACTTGAAGGCATGGCTTGGACTCCTAGCAGCAAAGTTAGCCCGAGGGTGACAAGCACCACAAATTTCATCATGGCTTTTGTTCCTGAGATGGAATAACAAACAAAATAGGTCAGCATTCGTTTCTTAAAAGGTAGGCTTCATCTGAACAAAGTTTTGCAGCATGAGGGGAGTTACTCTTTACCATGCTCTTTGTATTTCTCACAGTGTAACTTTCTGACCATTTATATTTTCTCCTCATTTTTTAAGACAGGGTTTCTCTGTGTAACAGAGTCCTGGCTGTCCTGGAACTCACTCTGTAACCAGGCTGGCCTCAAACTCACAGAGATCCGCCTGCATCTGCCTCCCAAGTGTTGGGATTAAAGGCAAGCGCCACCACACTGGGCTCATTTACATTTTTTATTTGAAATACTTGTCTTAAAAATTCAAATGTCTGGACACCACTTAAAGAAATAGAGAGGGTCAGGAATGTGGCTCAACTGGTAAAGACACTAGGCACACAAGCCTGAGGACCTGAGGTCAACCCTTGGGGGCCATGTAAAAAGCCACAGATGCCAGCATGCAACCGCCATTCCAGCATTCCTTTGATGAGATGGAAGGGAGAGACAGGCAAATGGCTCAAAAGCCAGGGGCTAGTTAGCCTGGAGCACAGCCTGGCAGCAGGAACAGCAGAGATCTGTGGCAATGTGGGTTGGACAGTGAGAGAACAACTCCTCAAAGAAAACCTCTGGCTCTCTGACTTGTACAGGGTGCCATGGCTCTCTCATTCTCTCTCATTCTCTCTCTCTCTCTCTCTCTCTCTCTCTCTCTCTCTCTCTCTCCCCCCCCACCCTCCCCCCCCCCTCTGTGTGTGTGTGTGTGTTGAATGAGAACTGCTAAGGGAGGAGAGACTGAGAGTGAGCATCTACATTTAATAAGGTACCCAAAGCCACATGATTTTTATGTGTTGTAACTCAAGAACAACTACTTTTAGGATAATATAAACTGATAAAAGTTTGTAGAACATCTAGCATTGCCAAATGAACCTGACGTTTCATATGTTATAGAATCACAACATTGTCAGAGGTTGTGACATCCTGACAGAGACAAATAAACCTTATTTATGCTAATATTCACAGGTACTATTCTGTAAGTATCTATATAGTCCAATTATTTTCAAATATTCTGGAATTTTTCTTTGGGCTTATTCTTGTTACAAACTTTTTATTGTTGTTTTTGAATTTTTTTACTCACATAGACTACTTATCTGCAATTGAAAATGGAGGCTTGAATTCTTTCTTAATCATCTAGCGTGACCATGACCACCTACGATGGGAAACTGCTGAGTGAACACGCTCTGTTGATGTAGTTCTAATATGTCACTTACTGTAAAATAAGTAGTTCTAACATTTCACTTGCTTAGCTTCTACCCACCAGTCTTGGTTTGAACCTTCGTGGTTCATACCAAATGAATCTAGTTCCTCAGGAGGTAATTTAATAGTGGTTATACAAGACTAGGATATTCGTCGTGTTTGCAACCAGTCTCCTCTAGGTTCTGTATTAGACCTGGAGGGAGTGGAGCTTATTGGAGTAAAGGAGGAATAACAGCATAGTGTAGAATTCAGAATTAGCATCCATAGCCATGCACATTGTGCTTTGCTAATGTGCTGATAATATCTTTTTAACAGAGAAGGAAGGCCGATAAAGGGCACTTCTCTGCACATTGTACTTTAAGGATATTTGGTTTTAACATACAGAGCAATTGGTTCCAATGTGATGTTTTCACACACACTTGCTTTGTACCCTCCTCCTCCTCCCACCCCCTACTTCTATCTCCCCCACTCCTGCACTCTTCCTCCTAAGTCTCCTTTCTGCTTTTATATCAGTTTTTAAAAATCTATTACCTTCTTCTTTTCCCTCTCCTTTCCTTATGACCTCTTTTACCTCTCTTCTGGGTCTCACCATCTATAACCATTTACACACACACACACACACACACACACACACACACACACGCACGCACGCACGCACGCACGCACGCACGCACGCACGCACGCACGCACGCACCCACGCACGGGCCTGTATTTGTTTTTCTGAGTCTCGAGCTTTGAAGGAAAACAATATTGCTGAAAAGAAATTAAAATGTGAGATTTCTAATGACTAGATACAGCTTCTGAGCAACTCATCATAGGTAAGAGGAAATTTTGAATAAAGACAACTTTTAAGGTTTAGAGAATACACATATTCATCATATTCCTAAAAGTTTCAGGTTTTATTTCATCTTCTAAATTGAGTTAGTCATATTTGACCTGGCTTGTAATTTTTAAAATTGGGCATACCTAATTCTTCCCTCTAAACATTACTAAAAGAAATGACAAAAGTGAGATCTATTTACATAGTCTCTAATTTGATAGAACAAAACATTAGCTCCACAGTATATCACAATCTAATATACACATACATACATATATTTGTAATAACCTTCAAATGGACTTTTCTCAGATCTTAGATTAAAATTCAGACTTATTTTTACCTTTGTTTTTGTTTGGTTTTGTTTTGCGATAAGAGTCTCAGGTAGCCCATGTTGACCACACAGTAAGTATGTGTTTGAACTCCTGATCCTCCTGTCTCCACCACACAAGTGCTGGCATTACTCGTGTGTACCATCATACCTGCAGTATCCACATGGTGAAAGCATCAGTGCTGTGAGATGCTCTCATTCTCAACTGCTTAGATGAGGCCCTTCTTTAATACCCACAAGATGTATATTTTCAAAAACTAAAACACATACTCCCTGACACTTTTGCTTTTCAAGAAGCCTGGAGCCACCGCACTGTAAACCTTTACTATGTGGCAGGAAAAATCTCAGCCATCAATCTTTAAGGAAGTATTTGTGTAGAATTAACAGGCTCCATTCGTCAGGTGAAGATTTTTCTCTACAGCCTTTTTGAAGTGAAACTGACATACAGCAAACTGCAAATACTTTATACAGTTTGTTAAACTTGAGTATGTGTTTTTTTCCCATGCAGCATCACTACAATCAAGACATTAATGATACGATTGCCCTTAAGTTTCCCCACACCCTTTTATTGTCCCTCCTTCCTTGTTGCCTATCCCATCCAGCAGCCACTGATTTGCTTTCTGAAGCCACAGATGATATCCATATTCTAGATTCTTATATAAAACAGTACATGTGAAACCATACAATCTTTTATGTGGGTTATTTCAGTACAGTTGCTTTGAGGTGTAGATGTTTTATTGCTGAATATTCTGTGTCCATTTGGGTCATTTCAGTTTGGGATAGTTATAATAAAATTACTGAGAGCACTTGATCAGGGCATTTTATTACTCTTGGGTAAATATGTACATGTGAAATAGTTAGCTGGGTTGGATGGTGGAGGCCAGAGATCAACCTTGGTGTCATTCCTCAGGAAACACCTAGCTTGGTTCTTTTTTTTTTTTTTTTTAAATTTTACTTTATGTGTATGTTTTGCCTGAATGTATACCACATGCCTGCCTGTTGGATGCCCTGGAACTGTGTTTATGGAAGGTAGTGAACTCCCACATGGGTGCTGGAAATTGAACCCTTCTTCTCCTCATGAGCACCAAGTGCTCTTAACTGCTGAGACAGCTCTCTAGCCCCCACCTTGGTTCCTGAGACTGGACCTCTCCCTGAGTCTGGGGCGTGGTAGTCAGTTAGGCTGGCTGCCTAGGGAGCTCTGTTCTCCACCTCCCCAGTGGTAATATTACAAGCATGCAAGGCCAAGGGTGGCTTCTTTTCCTCGTGGGCTCTGGGGTTCAAACTCTGTCAAGTCATCATGTTTACATGGCAAACACTTTACCAGCAGAACTAGTGCTCCAGTCCTAGTAAAGTGTTACTTTTAAATAAACTTATTGCTTCTCCCTTTTAAGCGAGCACCTCTACGTGCTCTCTCTCTCCTCTCTCCCTCATCTCTCGATCTCTGTTGCCTACCCCTCTTCTCCACCCCTCTTCTCCGCTTCTCTCTTGCTCTCTGCTTCTGGTTGGCCAACACCCCACTTCTCTTCTTCCTTTTCCCTTCAATAAACTCCATGTGGGTTTGTTGACTTGAGGTTCGTGTTTCATTGCCTGTCGCTGCAGCAAAAGAACACCACCACCAGCTGTGTGGTTTCTACAGTCTCCAACTCCTGATTTGGCCACTTTTTGCATCTTAGGTATTTTACCGGTCTAGAATGATATCTCATTGGTTTATATTGCCATTTCTTATTCCTTGTTGATGCTGAATCTCTTTTTATGCAATGATTATTTTTTTCTGGTGTGTTTTCTTTGATGAAGAATATGTTCCAGGGCTGGTGAGATGACTCTGCAGATCAAAGTGCTTGTCGCCAAGTCTGATAATCTGAGTTCAATCTTTGGGACTTATCTGGTGGAAGGAGAGAACTGACTCTTGCAACTTGGGTTCTGACAGCTCCACACCCAAAATAAATAAATAAATAAAATTATAAAAAATGCATTTCAGGACAGTGGCAGCACATGCCTTTAATCCCAGCACTTGGGAAGAAGAGGCAGGTGAATCTCTGAGTTAGAGGCCAGCCTGGTCTACAGAGGGAATTTCAGGACAGCCAGAGCTACACAGAGAATCTCTGTCTTGAAGAACAAAACAAATTACATTTCGATTCTGCTGTTCATCTAAAAAAAACAATTGGATTGTGGCTGGGCATAGTTGTGCAGGCCTGTAATTAATTGCAATACTAGGAAAGCTAAGGTAGATGGATCAATACATTAAAGCTAGTCTATGTGTTATATAGCTAGGCTATATAACAAGTACTAGGCCAAGAAAAAACAAAACAAAACAAAACAACAGTGAAATCTGGTCTTTAAAAAAGTATGCTAAGGTGCTGGAGAGATGGCTCGGAGGTTAAGAGCATTGACTGCTCTTTCAGAGGTCCTGAGTTCAATTCCCAGCAACCACATGGTGGCTCACAACCATCTGTAATGAGATCTGGTACCCTCTTCTGTTGTGCAGGCATGCATGCAGACAGAACACTGTATACATAATAAGTAAATCTTTTTTTAAAAAAAAGTATTCTAAAGCATTTTTACATAGTTTTTCAA